ATCTCTGGTAGGAGTAAGGTGCACATTGCACCCAAATCTTCCACAACTATACGGGGAAATCTGATTCTCATGTATGTCTGTAAGTATTTTCTGGTGTCTTGCGCGGCATTGGGATACAGCTTCAACATGGCATTTGAAAACAAACGTGCTTCAAAATCTCCGGTTCCGATCAGCCAGGTCTATGCTGGGTTTACCGATGTTGGGCAGGGAATCCAGTTTGGAAACATTGAAAATTTCTGCAGACCTTCAAACAGGGGACGCTCAAAACATCGTTTTGTGCATGAACTTGCCATACCCCGGAATTGAGTTGCGCAATGCGCCCAGGCCTTCCACAACTTCAGGGAAACCTGATCAGCCATCTCAATCAACGTTGGGATAGAGGTTCAACATTCCTTTGGTTTGCATTCTGAAGGTTCCGCAATGAAACTACCTGCGCAATATTTCCACTTTAAGCACCTCTGAGCAATCCACGCCCTCTCCTCAGGCTCCTCATCCGGAGGGGGGCCGAGTTGGCCTTGGCTTCAAAGAGGTCTTAGGTGAAGTGACCTAAACTGGGATATTTCTTGCTACCAGGTCAGGTCTGGAAAGTTCTGATCAGATCTGGCAGGTTCCGATCAGCCAGGTCTTTGTTGATTGACCGATCAGCGTCTTCGGCATACAGTCAAATGTGGGAAACATTCAATACTCGCTTTCAACCCTCTAAAAGGGTACACTCAGAAATATCCCCACGATGGACAGTACTCACGCGACAAAATCATCTCCCACCTTTTGCACGCACCAAACCCAAAAAAAAGGTTTGAGTTGCGCATTGCACCCAAACCTTCCATAACTTCAGGGAAACCTGATCAGCCATGTTTGTACGTGCATTCTAGTGTCTTGAGCAGCGCTGTGGTCATTTTGAAGGTTAGTTTGTCCTCCTCCTTCTTTCTCTTCGCAAAGCTTATAGCCAACGTCATCGCCAGATTCCTGGCCAGCTCTCTGGGCCTTGCCGGACGTGAACAGTGCCGCGAGCTCGCACGTTCTCCAGGCCCACAAAATGCAGCCAAATAATATGTGATTATACTATTGATATGTGTCAGATAAAATGCCAGTATTTCAGGTCTTCCCACTTCCGTTATACCTCTGTCGGAGATGTGTTTCTGTGCTCCAAGATCTTCACGGGTTCAGAGCGGAGAGGCAATGCTTGAGAGGCAGACGATGAGCCTCCTAGCGAGTCTTTGGACAGTGGCCGATTGCCTGGCACAGTGCTGTCAATCTGGAGCACACCATCCAGCAGTGTCTGGTTCAGAAGGTATCTGCCCGACTGCTGCTGGAGAGGGCGTGGCGTGTTTTGCACCAGCTTGCAAGGGTGCCATGCGTGTGACCTGTGGGAGAAGTTTGCTTCAGGAACCCCTTCCAAGATTCTGAAGGCCACGAAATGTTTGCTATACACCAGGATGTACTTGCCATCACGGTCCTGGTCGATGCGTGAAACCCGCGAAAGGCTGCACCTGAGCTACATGTCAGACAGAACGTCAAAAAACGATTATCCCGTCAAGAGGCCCCAACAGCGTGGGGGAGTGGGCGGATAATGTATGATAATGTTCATGGTGATGGTGATGGTGATGATGATGATGATGATGATGAGAATGATGATGTTTAGGAGGACGAGGAAGAGGATGATGCGGAAGATGAAGTGAGGATGAGAAGGTGGAGGATGATTATATTGAGAAGATGGATTGTGATGATGATTTTGAGGATGAGAATGTGGAGGAGGGTGAAGAAAAGGATGATAATGTTGATGTTGCGGAAGATGAGGTGGAGGTTGATGATGTTTAGGACGATGAGGTCAAGGGGGACGAAGATGATGATGTTGAGATTGATGATGTTGAGGACGATGAGGTCAAGGGGGATGAAGATGATGATGTTGAGATTGATGATGTAGAGAAGGAGGAGGAAGAGGATGATGTTGAGGATGATGATTTTGAGGAGGAAGACGGATCCCAAGACCGGGGACCACACTTTGTGCAAGCCTGTGCAGTCGAAATGCACTTGGACATTTGACAAGAGTCACTTTGAGCGACAATTTACAGGCAAAATGCCGCGCGCCAAGACCGCGACCCACACTTTGTGCGAGCCTGCGCAGTCGACATGCACTTGGACGTTTCACAGGAGCCACTTTTTTCCGGAAATTTAATACCGCCGACCAAAACCACGACCCACACTTTGTGCGAGCCTGCGCAGTCGAAATGCACTTGGACGTTTCACAGGAGCCACTTTTATTCGGAAATTTAATACCGCCGACCAAAACCACGACCCACACTTTGTGCGAGCCTGTGCAGTCGAAATGCACTTGGACGTTTCACAGGAGCCACTTTTATTCGGAAATTTAATACCGCCGACCAAAACCACGACCCACACTTTGTGCGAGCCTGCGCAGTCGAAATGCACTTGGACGTTTCACAGGAGCCACTTTTATTCGGAAATTTAATACCGCCGACCAAAACCACGACCCACACTTTGTGCGAGCCTGCGCAGTCGAAATGCACTTGGACATTTCACAAGAGCCACTTTATTCGGAAATTTAATACCGCCGACCAAAACCACGACCTTTGTGCGAGCCTGCGCAGTCGCACTTGGACGTTCACAGGAGCCACTTTTATTCGGAAATTAATACCGCCGCCACCACGACCCACACTTTGTGCGACAGTCGAAATGCACTTGGACGTTTCACAGGAGCCACTTTTATTCGGAAATTTAATACCGCCGACCAAAACCACGACCCACACTTTGTGCGAGCCTGCGCAGTCGAAATGCACTTGGACGTTTCACAGGAGCCACTTTTATTCGGAAATTTAATACCGCCGACCAAAACCACGACCCACACTTTGTGCGAGCCTGCGCAGTCGAAATGCACTTGGACGTTTCACAGGAGCCACTTTTTTTCGGAAATTTAATACCGCCGACCAAAACCACGACCCACACTTTGTGCGAGCCTGCGCAGTCGAAATGCACTTGGACGTTTCACAGGAGCCACTTTTATTCGGAAATTTAATACCGCCGACCAAAACCACGATCCACACTTTGTGCGAGCCTGCGCAGTCGAAATGCACTTGGACATTTCACAAGAGCCACTTTTATTCGGAAATTTAATACCGCCGACCAAAACCACGACCCACACTTTGTGCGAGCCTGCGCAGTCGAAATGCACTTGGACATTTCACAGGAGCCACTTTTATTCGGAAATTTAATAGCGCCGACCAAAACCACGACCCACACTTTGCGCGAGCCTGCGCAGTCGAAATGCACTTGGACATTTCACAAGAGCCACTTTTTTTCGGAAATTTAATACCGCCGACCAAAACCACGACCCACACTTTGTGCGAGCCTGCGCAGTCGAAATGCACTTGGACGTTTCACAGGAGCCACTTGTATTCGGAAATTTAATGCCGCCGACCACGACCCACACTTTGTGCGAGCCTGCGCAGTCGAAATGCACTTGGACATTTCACAGGAGCCACTTTTATTCGGAAATTTAATACCGCCGACCAAAACCACGACCCACACTTTGTGCGAGCCTGCGCAGTCGAAATGCACTTGGACATTTCACAAGAGCCACTTTCTGGTAAAATGCCGCGGACCAGCTGGAGCGATCAAGCACCAACCTTTACACTCACCGTAAGAACCCCTCAGTGTGGACACACTGTTTGGGGAATCAAATAGATGTCACGACCTCTATGTCAGATGGAACGCCAGATGAAATGTCAGATGGAACGCCATAATATACGCGAGATAAAATGTGAGTTGGCGGTGATTTCTCGAAAAAGCAATGTTGATCCTTTTTAATATTGACAGTCGCAATCCCTTCCCCCGTTCTTTAAAAACAAACATGGCGGATGTAGGGGATGAAATCACCTTTTCGGGAACCATTTAGATCCATTTTGGGGCAATATCTTTTGGAACAAAATAGAGGGGTCTCTTGTTTTTACCGTTTATCATCATTTACCTATTGATGTTGTTATTAATCACCCACTGCAGTGAGAAAAAACCATCCATGATTTCGGGTCTGTTGAATATTGGGGGGATGGGATTATAGATATCATTAGCCTCCTGTAAACATATAGAAAAAAATGTGGAAAGCATGAAAGCCCTCTATTTGTAGATGATGTTCCTAGGGAAACCACGGGTTTTCATGGCTTTCCGACATCTTTTTCGATGTTTTCGTCATTCCCCAGCCATTCTCAGGGGCTCTCAGTCCCTCAAAGTCCCCCACCTCTTTGGCTGGGAGCTCCGGCATCACCTCAGAGCATGGGATTTCCGAAGTCATGGGGTACCTCCCAATTTCATCCAAGATATCATTGAAATAGGAGGTACCCCATGACTTAGGAAATGGTATATACTGACAGTCATTGGAGAATCTACACATTTTCGGGGCAAAACATCTATGAAAGAGGTACCATCTGGTTATGACTAACAGTTTGCCATGGAAAACCACCATTTTAATAGGTAAACAATCTATTTCTATGGGTCATTTTCCATGGCTATGTTAAATAACCAGATGGTAATTGGAACATATGGGTATGGGTCAAAATTAGGTACCCCAATGATTGGATGGTTAATACTAAATTAGACTAACAGCTGTGGTCCCCTAGGTCTTCCATTTTGACCCACATCCATATTGGGGATTCCGAAAATAGGGGTACCCTAATAGCTGGATGGTTTACAATGGAAAATCCTTTTCGAATGAATGATTTAGAGGTACCACTATTTTAGGACCCAACGCCGTCCCCAGGCAACTGGTAACGAAACCCCTTTTTTTGCTTTTTTTACGGGTTTGGGGTGGGGGATGTTAACGTCCCTGTCAACTTGCTCACGTCATGTATGTTTGGTGAACTTCGGGGTTGGCTGGGTTGTATATATATATTTCACAATTATATATATATGCATATAAATGTACGTATCTTCTTGCACATATGTATGCATGTGTGTTTCACTTATGTATATATATATATATCATGTATATATACGTGTATATATATATATATTATATACATATGTATTTACATTTTTACGCATACATATTTTTTTTAGAATTGTTTAGACATGTGAAATTAACTTGTCTGGGAATGTTCGGGTCTTCACCTTTCGTTACTAATATCTTCAATGTTGACGCCATTGCAGTTTCTCAAACAAATGGCCAAAGCTTACAACGCTCGCTGGACACCTCCAGATCTTCTCTGGAAAGCCAGCGAAGCCAAAGGGGTAGTCCACTCTGGCAGGGAATATGGATCAAAATCACATCAACATAGCTGCCGGAGTTGTTTGTGATATTAGACTTATTACCCATAGGATCCATGTATGCTATATATGGTACCATTTACCATCAACACCCCCCGCAAGTATATGGATTCGATATCTCCTCAGAAATAGACCGCATAGCTCAAAGAAATGGATAAATCCCTAGAGGTTGTTTGACATTTTGACCCATCCTATAGGAATCCACAAACGGACAGAAAGACTTGCCAGGCCAAAGTTTGAGAGGATACGCAGCATGGCTGTCGCCAAAAGTCTAATGTTCGAAGTATTTGGAAGTATCATGAGATATGAGAACAACATTGAAGTAGGAAATTCCACTGTCATTTCCAGAGGATCTTCCTGCTTCATCTGCATTCTCAGCTTGGAAGTATCCCAACATAGTCTGGGCGACACCACGGAAGAAGAACACGCTCATTTTCCCTCTTACAGACTACCATGAATTCATATTATATACAACCATATACAACCTTTTCTTGGAGCAAAAATCAATCAAACTAGTTACTAGTTGAATACCGTTGAATATGACCCAGAAAGATGAAACTTTCCTGGCATTTCCCACTCTTGCAGGGTGGTGCCCCGAAAGTTGAAAGTTGTTTTTAACCCAATCTAAATATAATTATTTGCGTATCATACACTATTCTCATTATAGCTATAAAACAACTATAGTAAGTTGGTTTATATATTTGTAACATATTATAACATTACACTATTGTTTTATAACTATAATGTAATCACAACATTGTTACTATGTTTGTTTTCATACACTATTGTATACTAGTGTATACTATTGTAAGCAACCAACCAATGAATTATCGTTACCCTCTGGCAAACTAACATAACTATGGAAAATCACCATTTTTAATGGGAAAATCCACTATAAATAGCCATTTTCAATAGCTATGTTAAATTACCAGAGGGTATCACACACCTTCTTCGCTGACTGGGATCCCATCCTCCGGGACACCCGGCCAAGGGCACTGCCAGAGCAACCATCGCTAAGAGAGCCGTGGAGAGGTACCACATTGGCTTGGGCTGACCTGGGCGTTGCAGCACAAAGCGATGGTGGATCATAGTTTACCATAGGCAATGGCTGTGAAAGAACAAGGGTGAACATGTGTTTTTTTTGATGGTTTAGAGTGCTTAATAATGGTTAATTGTGGTTAATGGATGATTAAACATGGTTGAACATGTGTGATTTTGTTCAACAGAGTTGATACTAATTGATGGTTAGTAATGACTAGTAATGGTTAATCATGGTTGATGGCAATCAATGCCAATTAATTGATGATTAAAGGCCATTAATGGTGAGTAACGGTGACTAATAGTGATGAATGGAATTACCTTTGGTGTCATCAAACATGGCGGGTCGCTCTGAAATCCCCAAACTAAACAGAGGTTTCTAGCTTGAAAGATTGTCGAACGAAAAGGTTTATTTTCAAGCAAGCCATGCTTGATTACCGGATGGGAATTCTTTGGAGGAAAACAGGGGTTTGTGGTTGAGAATCCCCCTTGAAAACATAGGAAGCTGCGGAAAAAAATATTCAGATGTTTGACGGAGGATGTCGGTGCTAACACATCCATCCTGGAGTAGACAAACAACAAATGCAACAAATGCAACATCCGCAGGGGAATATCATCGAGAAAGTAGAATATTGGATATTGTTCGGTATCATGAATTCTCTCCGCAACATCTATCCGAAAAATGTTCAAGACTCGGAAAATGTGTTTGGCACCCAATGGATCAATCTGTTTGGGACCATTTGACAAGGAGCTTAGGCAATGTCCAGTGCCAGTTGGGCAGGCTTCCCTGTGCCATTGTACTTGCATCCCCCGTTCACATTAAACAGCCCCATTCTATCCCATTCGTCCCAAATTGTGTTTTAAATGCCCAATTTACACGGATGTTGGATGTAATTTGTTTATATTTAATATCATTCAATATTAAAGGGGGAAGGGACTAATTGAAGCCATATTGGAGCTACAACCCCTCAATCATCCTTAGTCAGACATCTCGAAACGCTGTCTCGACACTTTCTTTGCTTCTGTACAGAGCATAAGCACCACCGGCTACGGCCAGCCCGGGCGAAAGGGACAACGCCAACTTCGCCAAATAGGACCTGAGACAAGGCGAAGCTCAAATTGTTGTACCATGCAATTTTCATTGGATTGGTTCAAGGGAAAATCTAACAGGAAACCAGGGTTTTACCATCAAATATAGGGGGTGTCCTGTAAAATTTCCCGTAAACCAATCAAATGAAAGTTGGTTCGCTTTTCATGTTTGACCATCATGACTATCCGCATTTTGAAGCAATGATCATCAATTTTCATTTCATATGAAGCGGAAATTTCTGTAATAAATCCAACTTGCCATCATGGCATTCCAGGGCTGAGGTGGCCGCTCCTGAATCCCGCGGGTGATCATCATGGTTCCCTATAAAAACTGACCATGTTCCTCATGAACTCTGCTTGAAATGGCAACTTTTGTGGGTGAAACTCACTTTAAACTTATATTTTTTTCTGGAATAAACTACTAATTTCCCACATTCTCCCAAAAAATATGTCCATCAATTCCCTGCTTTCTCCCTGCTTGACCTTGATCCGAATCTCCGCCGAGCGGCTCAAAGACGGAAGCCGATGCCGCGAAGGCCAAGCCCGCCGCAGTCTTCGCAGCGTTCCCAGCGAAGGTGCAGCCCAAAGCGATCAGCAGAGAGCCCAGGCACCAACGCAAGCGCCGAGACCGGGTCGCCTCAGGTCTTGCAGTGGCTAAGGCCGAGGGTCCATTGAAAACCTGGGATTGGTTAATAACTTCAGCCTCAAATCCCCTGATGGTTTTGTATTTTCATCCCTCTCGAAGATGGTACAACATTGTACAATAATGAATAATAATGAATACTAATGAATAATAATAAATAGTAATAAATGATAATATATAATAATATATATATAACAATGATGTATTATATAATACGTATTGTTATCCATCCCCATGGTGGGAAGATGCGGAAAAATGGCCAGCTTTAAGATCAACGAAAACAACATGGAATGTGTTAATCCAAACTTGGTGATGAAATTCCCGGGCTGATGTAAAGTGGGTTAGTTCACTCCAGTTGTACCTGGACATGGCCCTTACATTGCCCTTACATTGCCCTTACCCTAGTGTACCCTCTGGTAATAGAAATAGTTGATTTACCCATTAAAAATGGTGATTTGCCATAGTTATGTTAGTTTACCAGTGTGTGAACTAATATCGATGTGGAAAAAAAACATGGTTTCCCCGTGAAAGTGATCTAGAAATGGTGGCTTTTCCACTTACGATTCCTTGGATGACCTGGGGTTCCGGTTCGTGCCGACCCAGTGACCATGCGCAGAGCGGGCGCCATTGCTTGGGATTTGACTATAAAACCTTGAACCAAAACTGGGGCATCGACCTATGGCTAGGCTACGATTCCTTCAATGTTTCAATCGTTCTGCTGCGATTTATGTTGAATATTGAGTTTTTAGTGTATTAAAAAAGGAATTAAATACCATTTGTTTGTTGTGTACACAAAGAATCTCAAAGACTATTTTTGATATCTGCTCTATTGGCCCATTGTTTACTACAAGATGGTGCCCCAGGTCGTTAGCTGAGCTGGTCTACAACTCGGCTATATAACTAGGGTTTATGACGAATATATCCATAGTTGGATGGACTCATTTCAACCAACTTGGAACTGCGAGGCGCCACCTTGTAGATAAAATGACCCGGAGCATCCCGAATAAGAAGTCATCTCAGCTATTTACTCCAACCATGAATAGCCGGTTGTACAGATGGCGCCCTAGATCTATGTAGAGTATACAAACACATCAAAATCAGTGTGTATATATATAATATAACATACATACTTCTACACATAATATATATATATATACATATAGTTATCCATGACTGGGGTTCACTAGAAGCCTATGCAAAGGGGGGGGGTCCTGATCTTTTCTGACAGCAGCAGCTCAGCAGCATGCCTGAAAAGTTGTCATTCTCGCAACATGCCTCAATTCAGCAGTGTTGATCAAACCCTTCTGTCATTCCCAAAGTTACTACGAAGTGAGTTGATAGGAATTCCCATACCAGATTATATTATATATTCTAATAGTAATCACCATTACAACACTTCGTATGACTTGGATAGCAACTGACGGAGGTTTTGGACATCACTCGAATGTGTTTTGGCACGTTTTGTGCACCATTCAGTGAGTCACTAGCTTGTAAGCTGATGAAAGACGTCCTCACGGATATGCTGCGGGTCCCCAGTAAAATGCATGTAATCAAAAGATCTCAAAAGGCTGACAGGGGCGCAGCTATGCCAATTGACAGCACCAAAAGCACCACCACCTGTATCAGGTGGCTGCCGACAGGTTATCCGCTCAATCTTTGGACCCACTAGTCAATGATGATCCTGCCTGAAAACCAAACATCTTAGTCCGTATACATGATGTACAAGTTGATGTACACGTTGATGTACATGAAAAGGTGAACATGAAGAGGTTCGCATGAAACATATATATATATATTAACACATGAACACATACATAATTATATATAATTACATAAACATAATATATACACATACAGGTACACGTTAAATGATGATGATGATGATGATGATGATCCAGCAATATTGAGGACAGCCGCACGGCTGAGTTTCTCACTGAGACATGGCAGCAACTTGCGCGTTGCGAGTCATCACCAGGTCCCGGAAATGCTGGTCCTGGCAGGCAGTGGTGACGAAAAAAGTGGTGCGTCCAATCGATATGTTTGTTGGTTGATTAAACGTATGTAACTACCCTCTGGTAAACATACAAAAAGCTATTGAAAAGCTATTGAAAATGGCATAGCCGATTTACCTACTATTAAACAGGGTGATTTTCCATTCGTTAAGTTATTTTACTGCTGGGTAACTAGTTATGGATGTTCATCCTGATTTTGGGTTCCGAAAACCCGATGTGGCACACCTCCTGGCTAAATCATACCAACCATAGTTTATTACCTCCCATGTCCTCCCATAGTTCATTGAATCCTGGCGTAAAGTTGCTGTTTACAGATGTTCATCCACCCTTGGCATTCGTATACATATATATATATATATATACATATATAATACGTCGTATGTTTGAACAATATACAAACATACGAAATCATGAATAACCAAACCGAGTTTCTTACACAGCAAACCTCGAAAAGATGTCTAAAGGTGTTTCCAGGATGGTAGTTCGACAATATTTATATACTAATTATTTCCAGAAGCCCAACTGTTCTATCTATTTTCGGGTTGCTATATAATTATACATATATATATATATATAATTATATATATATGTATATACAAAAATCTAAGGGATACAAAATACAAATAGTAAACTTATAAATCCAAGCTTCTGATCAGGGATAATTCATTCTTAAAATCCTACAAGGTCAGACCGTCATAAGTTGGTTTATAAAACCGTTAACTAACGTTTCTTATAACATCATATCCACGAACAAACTCGAACGTTCAGCAAGTGATGTGCGTCAACTTATAGATCTTATAGTAGCATTACAAGTACCCTCTGGTAATTTAATGTAATTTAACATAACTATGGAAAATCACCATAGAAATAGTGAACTTTCCCATGAAAAATGGTGGATCTTTCCATGAACTCCTCATTTTCCCATGGTGAACTCCCCAGTTTTTCGGGCCCCTGAATTCCCCTTTTTTCTCCAGACCTGTCGCGCCATCTCGGCCCAGAGAGGTGGCCTGTCAAGGAGGAGAGTGGGTGATGTTTGTTTGTTGGTTTATAGATGATTTACATTTATAGATGATTAGATGATTATAGATGATTCTAGGTGATCATAGGTGATGATTGTGGTTGATCTATAGGTGATTTAGTTGATGAATGGATGATATGTATAAATTATTAAATCATTATGGTTCATCTATAGGTGATGAAAGGTTCGATGATGTATGGACCGTACAGTATGGATGATGTACCTATGAAAAGAATTATGATGACATAGTATTATAGATTATTTGCATTGATGTATCTATGGAAAAATGGTGATTTCCAATACGCAATCATATGCAACATTACCAAAGGGTAGGTGAAGTTGGGTCCATGTTCAATCATCAACCAATGTGTGCTTTGACTATACACACATACACACACGCACGAACGATCAACTCATCATCTTCGTGATCATGGTGTCAACTCGGTTCCCGCACCAGTAGGAATCGCTCACCGGTGGGTCAGACTTCCTGTCAGACGATCCAAGTCAAGAACAAAAGCGCCAAAAACAGGGCATCTTTTGGCAAACTTCCCATGCCTTCCCTATCAAGCTATCTGAGATGTTCTGCACTCCATTTCTATCGGAAAATAACTAAACCCAGATTAGTGGCAGTAATTGAACTATCGAACATGTTGCCTGACTGTTGCTCCCCCTCTACTGGGAGTTGTTTTTGCACGTTCACCATCCATGGCTCAGGGTTTTTCAGCTGCCTGTGACCGCTATCGCCCAGTTGAAATCGCCTCAGATGACGAAAGTGCAATATAGTGCAATGCATCTAGATGTATAATAATTATGTATATTATTATTATTAGTAGTAGTAGTAGTAGTATTCTTATTACTATTATTATTATTGTTGTTATTATCACATAGCTACTATAAGTGACAGGTTTGTGGTTTCAATGCCTCCTAAGATCTTCAGCAGTATAGCAGTGGGGTGAAAAATCACCTCAAAAATGCTCAAGGATTAGTGGAAGCTATCTGTGTCCATTCCATTTCCCATAGGATCCATGGTGCTGGTATATTAATGCTAACATAAAGGGGGTATATTGATGGGATCCATGTTACCATATATAGCAGCACCATGGATCCTATGGGTTTGATGTTCGAAAGCACATGAAAGCACCGCTGCAAAGTCTCAAATCTTCATGCAAGGCTTGAATAAAGATGGTTTCAACCATCCGTAGCATCGCTGCAGACAACAAAAAACAATCACCGGAATTCACCAACCCAAGAATTTCACATAGCTCTGGTAAACTAACATAGCTATTGGAAATGGCTATTTATAGTGAGTTTTCCCATTCAAAATGGTGATTTCCCATAGTTATGTTAGTTTACCAGAGGGTAGCTCTGGAACCTCATCCACTTCGAAACAAATCCTCGATTTCGCCCATTGAAAACCAAGGCGCGAGAGTATTTGAGCAAGTGCTGTGGCCGGAGTTGCCTGGCTTGCTGCAGTCCATTTGGAGTTTCACCCCAGAAATGAAGGGTTGGAATTTTCCACCCATCCATCAAGAGGTACAGTAAAAAAAAGGGCTCCAAATGAGAAGTTCAGGGTGCTTTTATGTATTTTTATGTGTTTTTCTTCGAAAAAACATAGAACCAAAGTTGACCCATCTAGATGATTCCAGATGGATATTGGTGAATACTCCGGCAGGAATGAGAATTACATAACCGTGATGAATCAACAAGAAACTGGTATGGACCAACCTTGGGTATGCAAAACAAAATGATGGCTGATGCAAAGAATATCCAGGCCATCTCTGGTTCGCAAGAGGTGTCAAATCTTGACGTCCACCTTGTTCGTACAAATGCCCATTTATGGACATAGGACGAAATGGGTCTGTCTGAAAAGGATGTATAGTCCTGTATAGTCCCAAAATAGCTAATCTAATAGGGAATTTAATGAATGTTATACATAATCAGCCAATAGATTGAGGGGTACCCTATCAGACCCCAAATGAGAGAAGGTCCCTAGGTCCCTCCACCATAGCTCAGCCTGTGATTGGCTTGGCATCTCCTGTGGCCGGTCCGAGGCTGATCCTGGGTACACCTGTCATTTCGAAGTGGAAAATCTCCATGGAAATCATATAAGGTATAGCTGAATCCCATGAATCACCATCGAACTAAATCATTATCTGGTTGGTGGTTTCAACCCCTCTGAAAAATATTAGTCAGTTGGGATGATGTTCCAAACCACCAACCAGCATGAATCGTCATCGAACTAAATCATTATGGGCTGAGGCTCTTTTAGATGACGGGTAACTGGGCAACTCAGACGTGGAAACTGTGTCGGTAATGGTCTGAATCAAACTTGGGTTGAGAAAACTGCGACCTTGCATGGTGCAAGACCTTTTGGGACCCATGTCGGTTGGTCCAACAGTCAATCCCAAAGCTTTTCAAATCCAAATGGGTCCGGAATTGTTTTGGGATTTATTGTTTTTGCATGTTTTTCCGCTTTGGGATTTTTTTGGGATCTACTTTTCTGCCGGTTTTCCTTTCTATTTGCAGCATGTTGGAGCTGGAAACTGCCATTTCAACTGTCTTTGCAACATTTTGGAGTTGGAACCTCTCCATAGAATTTGCAACATTTTGG